GGTTAAGATCCCCACCCCAAAACTATATATACAATTGTTGGGCATAAAGAGACGAATGCAGTCATGATATTAGAATTGACCCCAGGGTTTGCCCCACCCTTGCAGACTTAACCCCTGGGTCATAACTTTGAAACGGTTGAGATCCCCACCCAAAACTATATATAAAAATGCTGGGCAAAAAGAGACAAGTGCAGTTATGATATTAGATTTGATCCTGGGGTCTGGCCACAACCGTAGGGACCTAGTTTCTGAGTCACAGCTTGGAAACAGTTGAGATCCCCACCCCATAACCATACATAAAATTGCTGGGCATGAAAAATCGAATAGAGATATATATGCTACAAGGATTGGCCTTGGGGTCTGGCATATTCCCTTGGATCTCATTTGGAGAATATTTTGCCATGATTGCTTAGATATCCAGGTGAGCGATACAGGCCCTATGGGCCTCTTGTATTATATGTCATAATGTTTGTATGTTTTTCTTGTGTCACTTTTTTAGGAGTGTATTGTTGTCTAATCTGTCTGTTAAAACAAGAAAAGATCCACATTCTCTTCAGCATGTATTACTCAATTAAAAAGTCAATGGTTTAACAAGTAAACAAACCTCTCCTATTTTGTACTTTTCAGGCCATTCTTTACACGTAACGGGTTTGAGGCATCGGAATCAAGTAGGGTAAGTCTATTATTTCTGGGCGCTGTCCCTATTGTAACGCATGATCAGATTAGCCGCGTCTGGTTGTTATATTTTAGTTTTGTTCAGTTTTATGCCTTGAACATAGACCAGCAGGTCTACATTATACTTACTCCATTAATGTATCTTGTCTTATGTAAACAACTTTGTGTTTGATGGTCCTGTTCAGGTGATGTTTCAAACATGTTCTGGTCTAACTGTCTAAGCTGTCCTGCATGTACATTAAACATAACCTTAATCACTAGATGTTATGTTCAGATTAAATTAATGTATAAATATACTTCATTTCTTAACCTGTTCACCCCTATGTAACTTTAGTAGACTCTACCATGCATTGATATGGATGAGTCCATTATGGTCTACAGTGGTGAAAGGGTTAACCTGTTCAGCCCTATGTAACTTTATATTAGTAGACTCTACCATGCATTGATATGGATGAGTCCATTATGGTCTATAGTGGTGAAAGGGTTAACCTGATCACCCCTGTGTAACTTTTGTAGACTCTACCATGCATTGATCTGGATGAGTCTATTATGGTCTACAGTGGTGAAAAGTTTAAAGGATGAGAGTACTGTCTGAGGCTACTAGATATATTAAAAGATTATTGGTTTTCACTAGAGCACAATACATGAAGCTGCTAGATTAATAAAAATATATTCTGTCCCTAAAAGAATAAAGATACAAGATACGAAGGCCAATAATTTTAAGCACTGACACAGTGTCTGTTGTCGCCCTTCCTTATACTGCATGTACAAGTCAAGACAGGATCATTGTTAGGCTGGGGGACTCAATGTTGTATAAACGAAGGGTATGCCTCCCTGGGGACAGAAGGGTGGAGTCCATTATACTTGAGTAAAGGCTAGCAATTCTAACTTAATTTGGTCTGGAGCATCCTTGGGCCAAGGGAAGCAACACAATTATGTAATTTTTAAATGGAACAAGTAATTATCAATTTATGGTACTAAGGAAGAGTGTAGCTCCCTAGGGAATTGAGGCGTGATGCACGAAAGGAAATAATTGGTTAAGTGTTATAAATTCTAATCCTCTTGACCAATTGATTGTATTTCAACCATACAATGTGTCACAGGAGGGGATGTGTGTCATACCACAACTATACAACGTGTCACAGTAGGGGACATGTGTCATACCACAACTAT